GGGGGGGGGGGGGTCCAGACTCACCCTCGTTCTCGTAGCTGGGGACGCTGTCTAGAGGGGGAGGGGAGAGAAAGGTGTCAGTCACCCCCAAAGACCAACGACCCCTCCTCCCCCTCCCCATATCTTTGCGTGTCACTCCCCCCTCCTCCATCCTCCCCGTCCGTCTGTCTGTCCATCACTGATATCCCGGCCGTCCATCCCCCATCCCCCTGTCCCCCCGTCCGTCTGTCTGTCCATCACTGCTATCCCATCTGCCCGTCCCCCCAGCCGTCTGCCCATCCCCCGAACCGTCCATCCAGTCCCCATTTGCCCGTCCCCCTGTCTGTCTGTCCATCACGACTATCTCGTCCATCCCCCCCAGCCGTCTGTCCATCCCCCTGTCTGTCTCCCCGTGTTTCTGTCTGCACGTCCCCATTTCTCTCACCCCCCCCCCACTCACCGTTGTCGGTCTCTGTCCTGGTGAAGGAGACTTGGCGGCTCTGGGGCGCCTGTGGGGATCGCCTGAAATGGATGGGGGGCTGGATTAGGAGGGGCAGGCCAGGCCTGAGCTCCCCCAGCCAGCACACGGACACCCCCCTGCCATCCCCGATATGTCCTGCCCCATCCAGAGCACACGCCCACCATACCCCCGGACGGAGAGGAATTTTCTGTAAGATTTTGGTGAATATGGTGTGTGCCTCAGTTTCCCTGGACGCTGCATTGTTCACTAGCGGGTGGGAAGGGCCCTGTGCTCTCTGCAGAGGCCCAGCGATGCAGGTGTGAGGGTTTGGGCCAGGTCCAAGGAGCGTGTGTGAAGTCAATGGCAAATCCAATCACCGGGACATTTGCTAACGACTGGCTGGCGCCCCCCCTACCCGCAGCCAGCCAGCCAGGCGTGCCCCGCCTTGGAGTTCGGAGGACAGAGGAGCCAGGCAGGGCTGGTACGTGTTGGCTGGGGGGCAGCTTGGCTGGGGGGGAGCCAGGGAGCGGACAGAGCTCAGAGCGGGAGCCAGGGGGTCTCTGCAGCAGGCTGGGCCGGGCTGGGCTTTAACCTGCTTCTCTCTGGGCTACCCGAGGGCTGTGCCCGGCCAGTCCCACAGGGACCCGGCTGTGTCTGCAGCCGCTGCCTGGCCCCGCAGGAGCTGGCGCTGCGGGCGACACGTCTCCCTCGGGCTCCGACTCAGGGGGACTCGCGGGGCTCACCCTGGAGGAAGAGTGGGACCCCTGGGGTCTGTTCCAAAGCTGGGGGCTGTAGCCCCGACCCTGTGGCTCTGTGACACCAGCACACACCCTGACACGCTCTGACATGCTTGTACCAACACACGCCCTGACTTATCCCTGCTGACACACCACAGCAAGGGGACTGCAGCGCTTCCCCCCCACCCCCAGCAGTGTCTGTGGGGCCCGGCCGGCACCCACCAGCCCAAGAGACTGGACCTGGGGCGGCCAAGGCCTGTGGGGTGGGCACTGGGGGAGCCATGGGTTCTGGGCAGGGACCGGGGGCAAGCCCCATGGGGTGGAAGGATTGGGGGGAAGTCAGCGATGTACAGGATCTGCTCAGGGTGGGGGTGTCCCGGGACTGGGGGGCAGGGCAGG